ATATATATATATATACGTGTGTGTATATATATGTATATACATAAATATATATACATATATATTATATATCATATATATTATATATATATATCATATATTATATATATATCATATATATATATACATATATATATATATATTATATATATACATATTATATATATAAATATATATATAAATATATATTAGAGAGAGAGATGAGAAGAGAAAAGAAGGAAGAAAGAGAAGAGAAGGGAGAAAGAGGAGAGAAGGGAGAAAGAAAAAAGACAGAAAGAGAAGAAAAAAGAGATAAGGGAGAAGAGAGAGAGAGAGAGAGACGTATATATGAAAGCTAATTAGTAGAAATACAAGATGTGGCATTCCCATCGCCGGGGAAACGTTTACTTTGAGTACATTTCCTAAAGGAATTCGTGGAAAGAAAACGGGAAAATTTAGACTGGTTTGTTTATCGCTGAATTCTTGGAATTCAACGTCAGTTATGACTCCGTTTCCGCTGTGTGTGCGTGTGTGTGTGTGTGTGCGTGTGTGCGTGTGTGCGTGTGTGCGTGTGTGTGTGTGTGTGTTTGTGTGTGTGTGTGTGTGTGTCTACGTAAAACATTAAGCAATATAAAGATAATAACAATTATGGTTATTATTATTATCACATTCTGAACTTCCCGTTACGAACCAATTTAGATTTTAACTGATTATTTTCCTTAACCCATCCGCGCCGGGTAAAAATGAAAAAAAAGGGGGGGGGGGAATGCTGTGCTCATTTTTTATACTTTTTCTGAAATTTCTGTACACTAGATGGCTCTGCCTTACCTGATTTCATTTGGCGGGAAAATGTATTTTTTACTCGTGCTATGAATATCGATGGTTATTTTTATTAAACATTATAATTACTATAATGTTATGAACATTAGTCACAGCAAAATAAGATAACGTAAAATAATTTCGCAAATTAAAGAAAAGGGTAAACGGGCGAGACAGATGGTACAAGTACAAGTGTAGCCATCTATGTGTTAAAACAATCAAACAACTAAACTCACAGTGGGCATGTCACGTATACGTGACACCCGGCGCGAATGGGTTAACCCATTCGCCACACGTGGCAAGAATAGATGCCATACCCACTTTGATACACGTTTATTTATTGTATTTACACATAGATGGCTCTACAAGTTCTTAATCACCAAATAGCCAGTTATCAAGAACTACCTATTTCACCTGTTTACCCTTTTCCTTCACTTAACCCATTGCCGCCGGGGAAAATGAACAAAAAATGGGGAAAATGCTGTGCCTATTTTCTACACTTTTTTGTTAAATGTCTGTCCATAGATGGCCCTGTTAGCGCCTGATTTGAAATGGCGGGAAAAACGTATTTTTCACTAGGGCCATGAATATCGATGGTGTTGTTTTTATCATAAACATTATAATTTTTATAATGTTTTTTAACATTAGTAACAGCAAAATAAGATAACGTAAAATATTTCGTAAATCAAAGAAAAGGGTGAACGGGCGAGACAGGTGGTACTAGTAACTGGCTCATTGGTGATTTAGTACAAGTGTAGCCATCTATGTGTGAAAACAATCTAACAAGTAATCTCACAGTGGGTATGGCATGGCATGCCTGGCGGGAATGGGTTAAGGAAAAGTTTTTTTTTGTATCATTTCATTGTCAAAAATATTCTAATGACAATTCAATAATCATAACATCAATAACAATATTAACAGTATCGAAAGCAATGGTATTAGTTTTCCCGCCAATTCAATGAATGGGAAAATCAGGGTCGGTAACTAGGGCCTACTGATAGACTCCTTGCCGGCTGAGCACATGTGGAACCATCTGTATGTAACAAAATTCACTAAAAACTATAGGGGACAGAACATAAATCCGAGGCGAATGGGTTAAGATATTAATCTCAAAGGCACGATTTAATATTTTCCATGTTCATTGCTAGTCGGCCAACTTACTGACTTTAAATTTCATTGCCATGTACTCCATTTAGTTCTATGGTTGTGGGAATTTTGTTACCATCATTAGCAAAAATAATGAGCTGAGGAACACCGTAATTGAGTTCGACTTTGTAATATTGGTTGATTCATTTCATTCAGTCCTTGTGAAAAGTCAGGATGATAAATTCCTGGTTTAAGTTTACATTTGAGGTTCCATCGTTTATAAACTCAGCCAGGTTGGCTTTATAAACTTTCAATTTTCCGGAGCTTAAGGTATCAGAATTGCAGGGTTTTTTTCTTTTCATTTCTTTTCTTTTTTGTTCCCACAGCATGGGAATCACGTTTTCTGTGATTAAGTTATTCATGCAGCAAAGGAGGTTAGCGATCCCTGAGAGCTCTCGCATTAACCTTGATATACCTCTTGTACATTCAACATTTCCTGAAAACAACAGGAGGATTGGCAGGTCGGAAACTCGGTCGTTTGCTACGTTCCTGTTGGTTATTTCGCTGGTTTGGTAGCGGCAACTGCGGTCTCTCTCCTATTATCTGTTCACGATGTCCT